CTCTCTCTCTCTCTCTCTCTCTCTCTCTCTCTCTCTAATAAATAAATAAATAAATAAAATTTAAAAAAAATAAAACCACAGAAATTATGAATTTGATGTGCTAGGAGACATCATTTAGTAAGTAGACCAGGAACTAGAGTCTACTGTACACCAGACATACTTAACGTGAAATCAGTGGCTGTATTCTTCGCTGTCGGGGAGGATATAAATTCAGTAACCATCTTGAGAGCCACCAATGACAGCGTGGCAGAGTGGTAAAGCCTGGAGGGCTGTGTGCGGACATGCTGTGGCCCAGCCCGCTGAGCTGCTGAGGGGATCAGAGTCCTGCCGCCCTTCCTCCCAGCTCCTGGCCCGGCCCTGCAGCCTTGAAGGCTGTGTGGCCCAAACTCAGCAGCTCTGGTTTAAAATACCCACTCAGGATAGCTGGTTCTAAATAGAACTAATGACAGCCAGAAAAGAAAGGCCTGTAGGAACTTGCTCTGACACAGAGCTGCTGTCTATAAACAGATTCAAGGCAGGGAGCAGAGTACCCTTCTCTTGCCATAAGTTTTGTCTTGGCGTGAAGATGAAATAAAGTAATAGGAAAAAGTTACACGGCCTGCCGCTGTTCTACAGAGAAATAAAGTTTAGTTGGTCATCTCTCCATAACTTGCATTTGATGAGTCAGTTTAGTAATGAATCATAAGTATCAGACCAAAGTTTTTTACATGGGAAAAAATAATGGGCAAAATAGACTTCTACAGAAGGAATGACTGTAGTTTTTTGTATTCTTTACACAGCTCGATGTGATTAACTTTCACTCAAAAAACACTAAGGGAAACAAAAAAAAAAGACACTAACGGGGCTGAGTATGGCTCTTAGCCCTTGCCTAGCCTGCATACGGCCCTGGGTTCCACCCTAGGTACTGCAGAGGAAAAGAGAAATAACCAGGCAACTGAAGTTAAAGCCACTTACCATTTGGAAAAGGATAAGGGGATAATGTAGCTGTAGAAACCCAAAGCTGGATTAAATGTCAGAAAGGCCTTGCTAGGCATGACAGTGCACACCTATGATCCCAGCATTTGGGAGGCTGAGACAGGAGGATTGCTGTGAGTTCAAAGCCAGCCTGAACTACATAACAAGCCCTTGTCTCAAAATATATATATATATATATAATAATGTTTGAGCTGCTAATTAGTAGCTAAGAAAAATTCGGATTTTTTTCTCTTAGTCTTTGTAAGACTTCATAAAGAAACACAACAGTTTGTAAGTGCCCGAGAAATTTACTCGACAGCACTATGTAGAAAAGTAGGGTGGGCAGCCCAGCCCTGTATGCACACCTGTTGGCAGACTGAGCTCAGGGTGCAGCTGGAAGCCATGGGGCTTGAAGCCCACAGGTGACTCCAGAGTGCAGGCGAGCGTGGGCCACTGAGTAGACTGCAGTTGCCATCCCAGGGATGTTGTTTTCCCCACTGTCCTCATTTCTGTAGTGTAACTGCTTCAGTGTTGCTCCTGCTTGAAGAAAAATATTTGAACATCCGTCATTATCAGTCTGTGCCAGTCACACTCGCTGTTTCCTTGTTTTCATGCATCAACAGGAATTGGCAGCCATGAAGCAGATTCTCATTAATATGCATGGTAAACACTCTGAGGACAGCTTACTTCTTACTAAAATGCAGGCAAAGAATGTGACAGAGACCAAGACATCCAAGACTCTGACCGTGCCGAGAGAACAGGAGGACAATGTATTTATACCCAAGCCAACACTCTTCGTAAGTACAAGCCTTCAGAGAATCGTAGTAGCTCTGAATGTCACGAATTCAGTGGGGATTTTTTTTTTCTCTCATTTATATTGCTTTTTAAACTGCTTTTAATTTATGTCAGAGCCTTGAAAATTCTGTGTTGATGCTTTTCAGAATGTGTGTTATCTGTTTTGCAGATGATAGTTGATAATATCCTGAATTTACATTAAAATTATCCCAAACCTAGCACTTTCAATTCCTCAGTTCTGGAATCTGATCATGGGGGAATCGGAAGTGCAAATCTTGTACAATATTCTCATTTACATAAGGATAAAAGATGATGGAGCCCCAGCCTACTGTGCCAGGTTTGTAATCCCATCTCTTAGGAGGCTGAGGCAGGATCATGAGTTTGAGGCCTATTTGCCACTGTCACTCCTAGAACCACAGCGGGTGAGCACCGGCTGTGATGCACAGGAGCAGCAGCAGTGAGGGCTATGACCTCCTCTTAGGAGACGGAGGGCGACAACCCCAGAAGGCATGGTGGGGCTCTGGTGTCTCTGCCAGCGGAGGCTCAAGTGAGCAGCGAGTGCAAGTGCCTCTGCAAAGCTGTGTTCCTGTCATCACCCCTCCCTACTCTGAACAAAGCAGATGCTCAGTACAAGCACATACTGGGCTACACTGTGAGTTCAAGGCCAGCCTGCACTACGTGGTGATACCTTGTCTCTAAAAAGTTTGAAGCCAGACACATGCCTATAATTCTTGCACTCAGAGGCTGAAGCAGGAGAATTGCCCCTGGGCTACAAAGTGAAACCCTGTCTCAAGAAGAGAAATACCTGCTTCATTCCCATTAATACCCACTTTCCTCTCCAGATAGCTTTCAGCTGGCCAGCCAAGTGATGGGGGACCTTTCAGAGACTCGTGCCCAGACTGCAACCCAAACCCACTTATTTATCACAAAGTGCCAACTCTGCAATTAAACCCGATGCTGAGGTTTTAATAGAAAAACAACTCATACTTGAAAATCTTTTCTCTTAAAAGAAAAGCAATATACATGTCATAAATTTGCCACCACCGGCCAGCCTCACCTCTTTCTTAGTCCTCTTTAGAATGTCTTTCCTTTTTTCTTACTAAAACCATGTTCTCCTGCCCTCCTTCCCACCCTCCCTCAGTCCCTCTCTTCTCTCCTCCTCTCTCCCCCTCTCTTTCCCTCTCTCTCTCCAGAGTCTCACCATGTAGTGTAGACTGACCTCAAAGTCACATCAGTCCTCCTGCCTCAACCTCCCAACTGATGGGATTTTAAGCATGCACCACCACACCTGGCACCGTGTACTGTCTTGCACTAGTTTTGTGCTGCCTTGCTATTCCAAAATACCAAGCCCAGTCAGTCTTCCTAGACTGATAGAAATTGGGCCCTACCTCAGAGGACTCAGAAGTATTTCTTTCATCCCAGCCTCTAACAGTTGTGAAAAACAAAGTAATTACATCTGCCCAACATAATCTTTCTTTTCCCTGAAGAAGTGTTACTGGTTAAACACTAATAGATTCTTAATCTAGCTCTTTTTCTGGATTCTAGAAATAATCTACCAGACTTACTTTGTCTGCTCTTACCAGTCATCGCTCTACTTTTTAAAAGTGCTCTCAGTATGTTGTACACCCCGAGCTATGTAGTAATGTTGCAATTAGCTCCAAGGTGACACAGCAGGATGTGTCTTATCAGGACTTGTCTCCAGGTCATCTTGCACCCCAGTTGCCTGGTGTCATGTGTCTCTGCAACAACTTTTTTTTTCTTTTTTTGTTTTGTAGTACAGGGTCTCACTACACAGATCGGACTCGTAGTGATCCTCCTGTTTTCAGCCTCTCAAGCACTGGGATTACGGTGCTTATGCCACCATGCCCAGTCTCAGTTGCCTATCACAGCATGCTCCAGGGGCAGGACTGGCACAGCACACCTGGGATTGAACCCTGGTCCCTGTGTCTGCCTAAGCAAGCGCTTTAATCCACTGAACTATCTGGCTGGCCCAGCAACAGCTTTCTTAGCAGGTCCCTAAGCATGCAGCTCAGTTCACTATGCACCCTATTAATACTGTATGACAGTTGAAGATCTTTATTAATTTATACTGGTTCTTTACAAAATATAAATGTAATTATCTTCAACCAGAACATACAAGTTAAGATAGTGTCCCATTTATGACGTTTTTATCCAGGCATGTGCCCATATCTGCAGTCGCAGCGCTGAATCAGGGGCCGGGGAGATAGCTCAGTAAAATAAATGCTTGCCTGGCAAGCGCAGGGTCCTGACTTTAATCTCCAGTACCACCAAAAAAGAAAAAAAAAAAAAAGGAGATCTCTAGTTTGAGACCAGTTTGGGCAGTTTAACAAGATTGTGTCTGGACCTTAAAAGGGGGCTTGAGATGTGGCTCGGTACACAGCAGAGGCCCCGAGTTCAGCCTCATTGCTGAAAGAAATGGCTGCCTCTAATTGTTGTGTCTAATGTACTGTTAAGATACATACCTCCAGTGAAGAACCATGTGTCGCAGCACACAGCTGTGATCTCTGCACTCGGGAGGCTGAGGCAGAAGGATGGCTATGTGTTTGAGGCCAGCCTGAACTGCAGAGTGAGACCCTGTCTCAAAAAAAGATAAAAAATAATAATTTCATAGGCAGAATGCCATAGGCCTATGGCCCCAGCATTTGGCAGGCTGAGGCAGGAGGATCCCCACAAGTTTGATGCCAGCAGGGATTCATTTTTTAAATGTTCATTGAGACTTGCCTATATACCAGGTGCTATTCTAGGAGGGAAAGATGAAAATTCCTGCCTCTAGGCCACTGTGCTCTCTTGAATGGTGCCCACCTTCATGCTCTAGGGTATACTTGTTTTCCTGGTTTTACTTGCCCTGAACTCCAGAGCAGGTAAAACTTTACTACTGTTAAAACAAAATAAAAATCCTGCCTCCAGGCCAGGCGTGGTATATGTCTGTAATCCCAAAACTCTGGGAGGCTGAGGCAGGAGGATCACAAGTTCCGGCCCAACCTAGGCAATTTAGTGGACCTAGCAATATAAATTCTGTCTCAAGATAAAAATTTTACAAGGGCTGAGGATGAAGTTCAGTGTGAAGCCCTGGCTTCAGTCCTCTGTATTGAAAAACAGCAAAAAAGTAGTGTCTGTGGAAGCCTACATGTTACCTCTATCTCATCCTGTCATTCTCCGTGCAGCCCTCAGAGTCTAAACCCATGCCAAGAGATGAGGCCTGAGGGCCTGTGTCCCAGCACATGGTCCCTGCACAGCACTGCCACTGCAGGCCACCCAGGCAGGCAGGCCGGTCACCACATATACCTAGGACCCTGGGTGCGGCCAGCACCCTTCCTCTCACATGCTGGCTGTGTGAAGATAAGCATTGTCCTGGAGCACTGCCCGAGCTTAGCAATATGGACGTCTCTCCAATAAAGCCCAGAAAATAACCATTTCCGGCTGATCCTATCGAGCACGTTGACTCCTATCGGGCTCATCAGCAGCCCTTGATGTGTCTTCTACTCTGTGAATCCAGTAGGATTGATGCAGCGTCAAGCATTCCAAGCATCTGCATTCCAAGCAGGCAACAAGAGGGGGGACAGTCTCTTATCGTGTATGCCATTGGCTAGTTTTTTTGTTGCTATTAGTTTTGTTTTTATTTTTTCGTTTGTGGTTCATGCTGGCCTGGAGCTCACAGTGTACCCCAGGCCAGTCTCAGACTCCTGAGCTCCTCCTGCCTCGGCCTTCTGAGTGGTGGAAGCACAGGCTTGCAAACCCACACAAAGGAAGCACTGGCTTGAGCTCAGCAGCAAAGAGGCTGGTAGATGCCAGCTCTGGCTGGACACGCCCACTGCTCTCCTGTTTGTTTTGTTTTGTTTTGCTTTTTATCTTTTTGAGACAGGGTCTCACTTTGCAATTCCGGCTGGCTTTGAGCTCACTTTGTAGCTTGGGCTGGTCTCAAACTCCCAACAATCCTCCTGTCTCAGCCTTCCCAGTGCTTTACAAATGTGCGATTACAGGTGTGTGCCACCACACCCTACCTAATGAAGTGTTTTAAACTTCAGTCCTGCTACTGAAAAGGGGCAAAGAGGAATGGGGCATTGCTCGGGGCAGAGGCCCTCACTTTTTTTTTTTTTTTAATATCTTAATTTTACTTATTTCTTTGGTACGGGGTCTCTTTTTGGTGGCTGGTATGGTGTGCCAAGGGTGGTTCTGGGACCGGCACAGCACATGGTACTAAGGACCAAACATGGGTCCTTGCATTTGCCAGTCAGGCACTTAGGCCACCAAGCCATCTTCCCAGCCCTGAGACTTTGATCCCTGGCCATGCCACCAAAAAGTTAGGCCTGGGGATGTAGCTGCAGATGCCCCAGCACTCCCTGCGCACCCTGTGAACACTGTATGAGGAGGCCCACTGAGCCCGCTGCTGCAGGCTGCTGAAGACAGGCTGGCGGCCAGGCCACGCGAGGAGGCCACGTCACTGTGTGGGTGGATGGTCCCAAGACTGTCACAATGGAAACAGCTGTGCCAAGGCAGGGTGCTCAGAGGAAAGGGACCAACCAGATCCTAGGTACAGGGGTGCTGTGGCAGCTCAGACGTGGCCTTGGGCTTAAAACCTTGGCTTAATGATTGTGACCTCCCACAAACAGGTTCCTAGTGGATTGGAGCAGGTATTTAAGGAAGACATTACACCAGCTCTTTACAGTCACTCTCAAAGATACAAACAAATGGAATACATCCCAGCTCACTAGTGCCATTAGACCAGAAATAGTACAGGAAGAGAAAATTACGGACCACAGACATCATAAACATAAATGCAAATGTGTGCGGATTTTTGAGGGCAGTGAGACTATGCTGTGGGGTGCCGCAGTGTATGCATGTCTTCATTTTGTTGTTTTGTTCATTTTTATTTTTTTGAGATAGAGTCTCATTGCATAGTTCAGGCTGGCCTTCAACTCACTACATAGCCCAGACTGGCCTCAAATTTGTGGTCATCCTCTTGCCTCAGCCTCCTGAGTGCTTGGTTACATGCCTGACAGTATGATGTGTGTGCGTGTCTTTAGACTTTGTCCAAACCCACAGACCTGTGCCCCAGGGCTGAGCCATGGTGTAGACAGGGGGTTCAGGGCAGTAATGGCGCTGCAGTGCCTGACAGCTATGCCAGTGCAGGGAATAGTGTTGGTAATACCAGCAGCTAGCACATGTCAGGCAGGGAAAGTTCTTACTTCCCAGTTGTACTCTACACCAAAAACAGCCTAAATAGTTTTTAAAAATAGAAAACTAGGTGTGGTGATCCCGGTGCTCAGGAGGCTGATCGCAGGGATCCCTGCAAGTTCCCGGCCAGCCTGGGCTGCATAGTGAGTTCAAGGTCAGCCTGCTCTGGATAGCAAGACCCTGTCTCAAAAAAACACAATCACAGAGATACATGCTGTCAGTATACCTGTGTATACATACTCGAAAGTACACCCAGGCATGATGGTGCGTACTTGTAATCCCTGCATTTGGGAGGCTGAGGCAGGAAGATCACTTTGAGTTCAGTGCCAGCCTGGCTACATAGTGAATTCAAAGCCCTATCTCAACAGTGTAGCAAGACCCTATCTCAAAAAGAAAGAGAGGGAGAGGGAGAGAGGGAGATTCTTTACAGCTCTGAGCAGCTGTGAGTGGGAAAGCATACTGCTTGTGTGATGTAGCGCAGCAGACAATGCCGCAGGCAGCGCGCATCCAGGGAGTTCTGAGTGTCTCTCCATTCCAGGCCCCTCGGCCACCCTATGCCTAGCACAGTACAGCCCACTGTTTCTGTACTCCAAGAAGCAAAAACCAAGAAGCGCTCCGGGAAATCTCCAGCCACTCAGAAGCTTCAGCATACCATGGTCTAGGTATCGCAATTCTTCTGTCACTACTAAGTGAACAGCTATCTGTCTGCAATTAAAAGGAAATCATGTCCTTGGATTTCAGGGGTGGGTGTTTGTTTTGGGTCTTTCTTAGACCAGATGTTGCTGTAGCTCAGGCTAGCCTTGAACTCACTATGAGCCCAGGCTGGCCTAGGATTCATAGCAGTCCTCCTGCCTGTCCTGAGCAGAACCCAGCTCATTGGGGTTTCTTGTTTGTTTGCTTTTATTTTAAAGAGAAGGGAAAGGGCTGGGGGGGATAGCTCAGTAGAATAAGTGCTTGCCTGGCAAGTGCAAGAGCCTGAGTTCAATCCCCATTTCTGACAAAAAAAAAAAAAAAAAAAAAGAGAGAGAGAGAAGAGAAAAACAATAGATAAGACATTAGAAATGATTTTTTAAAAAATAAGGTAGGTATTCAACATTGGTTGTCCTATTGCACATTGCTATCTTCAGTATAGTTGCTCAAATTAGCTATTAGCATATAAAATTGCCCAAAGTAAAATTTTTAAGCATTAACTGCTGCTTTCAAAAAACTGACAGAAATTAGTAGTATAATCATCTTAGCTATCCTGGATATATACATTATTTTTTCCTCTTCCTTTTTTTCCTATTTTTCTTTTTTCCCTCATCCCAGTTGTTTATTCTTTATGTTCAGTTTCTTTCCTTTACTATATCTATTGTACCTTTCAGATTTTATTTACTCTTTCAGGTTGTTACACTAGGGAGACAATGTAATATTAAACATGAGCCTGATTTATTTCACTTATGAGTATAGACTAGTTGCATCCATTTACCTATAAAGGCCTCAAGTTTATCTTTCTTTATAGCTGTGTAGTACTGCATTATATAAAAATAGCATATTAAAAAAAATACTAGGTCATTTTTATCCATTCTCAGTTGGTGGGCATTTTGGGTTGCTTCCAAGATTTAGCTATGACAAATTATGCTGCTGCTAACATGGATGCTGTTAACATATATTACTGTGGTACGATGTTTTCAATTCTTCTAGAAAAATATCCCCAAGAGGAGTAACTGGGCTAAATGAGACTTCTAATCCTAGTTTATTGAAGACTCTCCACACTGATTTCCACAGATTTGCACTAGTCTGAACCCCCACCACCGGTAGAGAAGGTTCCTTTTCCCCCACAGCCTTTCCAGAATTTGTTATTAGTTGACTTCTTGATGATAGCCATGCTTTCTGGGATGAGATGGAATCTCAGTGTTGTTTTAACTTGCATTTCTCAAATGACCAATGAGTAGAACATTTTTTCATATATTTGCCATTTGTATTTCTTCTTCTACGAAGTAAGTATTCATCTCAGATGCCCATTTTTTTATTGGGTCTTTAAATTTTAGGGACCTGGGATCGGGGAGATGGCTCAATGGAATAAGCGCTTCCCCGGCAAGCACTAAGGGCCTGAGTTCAATCCCCAGTTCCGCCAAAAGCAAAGAGAGAGAGAGAGAGAGAGAGAGAGAGAGAGAGAGAGAGAGAGAGAGAGAGGTTTTGCCAGGGAGATGGCTCAGTGGAATAAACGCTTCCCTGGCAAGTGCAAGGGCCTGAGTTCAATCCCCAGTTCCGCAAAAAAAATAAATAAATATAAATTTTGGGGGCCTGTTTTTTTTTTTTTTTTTTTTTTAGTTCTTTATATATTCTAGGTAGAGGTCCTTTGTGTGAGTGACTGTTAGTTAAGATTATTTTCCCAGTTTATGGGTTTTCTTTTCACTCTTTTGGTGATTTCTTTTGATGGACAAAAACTTTTCAATAAGATGAGGTTCCAGCTGTTAATTCTTTGAAGCATATCTCATGCAGTTTTTTTCTTTTCTTTCTTTTTTTTTTTTTGCGGAACCGGGGATTGAACTCAGGCCCTTGCGCTTGCCAGGGAAGCGCTTATTCCACTGAGCCATCTCCCCGGCCCTATCTCATGCAGTTTTTGTTCATGAACTCTCTGCCTGACCCTATGTCTTCAAGAAATCTAGATCTTTAAATTTAGATCTTTAATCCATTTTGACTTTAGTGCATGTCCTTGTTTTTTTATGAATTATTTAAAAACAGAATCAGTACCGTACCTAAGTCACCTGTGGAGACTGTTACTCATCAGACTGGGAAGCAGGAACCCATGAGAGATTTTCTCCTCACCAGCAAGGCGGGCGCTCATTTTTGGTAAAGAACGAGGTCTTCGCCCTCTAGCACCTGGCTGAGTTCAGTGAAGCAGTTCTCTGGGTTGCCTCTTTTTTTTTTTTTTTTTTTTTTTTTTTTTTTTTTTTTTTTTTTTTTCCACTGATGACAATTTATTATGTTTGCAGCATACAGACCAAATAGTAATTAGACCAGGATTATTTCTACATAGAAAGTAGGCAAAAATAGATGCCATTCTGTGGGGAACATGTGCATTTAATCATGCATCAGTTGTTTGATCTTCTGCTTATGTTGTTCAATTTCTTACTCCATACGTTCAATTGCCTTTTTATGATGATGGATTTCATCTTCATGATGTTTCTTCAAGGCTGCCAGTTGTTCTTTAGTCTTCTGTTAGAAGAACCACTCCTCTTCAGCCTCCCCTCTCTTGGAGAAGGCCCCACCAGCGTCTCGGATTGAGCCAGAAGAACTCTCATGATCCTGCCATTGTTCCTAACGCAGTAGTCCCTCGTCACTTGGCGTGGCAGCTTGTCTCCTCTCTTCTCCTTCTAAGCACTGTCCTGGTTTTCTTTTTCAGACCAAGAAGGAAGCACCTGAATGGTCCAAAAAGCAGAAGACAGCGTGCTGAGCTGCGCAGGAGCAGCTCTAGCTCCCTTTCACTTGCCAGTGAGCACACCTGGAAGTGCTTGCCATACCATTTTTTTACACTGGGGGGACACTGTATCATTATTAAATCCAGAAGTTATTTTTCTGATTTAAAAAAAAAAAAATCATCTTAATAGCACACTTTGCAGGCATGTGGTGCTGATCAGAGATCCCAGCACTTGGGAGGCTGAGGCAGGAGGATTGCCAAGAGTTCAAGGCCAGACTGGGCTACATAGTGAGTTCAAGCCCAGCTTGAACTACAAAAGTGTAGCCTGTCTCAAAAACAACAAGAAAAGGTACTTGGCATTTTCTTAAATAAGTAATTTAAAATTCACTTTATCTAAAATTAACAAATTTCAGCATAATCAAAATGTATAAAGTACAAATAATGATATACTTTATATTGTATTATCTATTTTGTTACAAAATAAATAACTTGTATGACTTAGATTTGAGTGCTTCTGTAAATATCTCTGCATTTTATGAATGTGGTTTATAAATAATTGGATGAATAAATTTTCTGGACTACCTAATTTTTGAGATTAAATAACATAATACAAGCAGGGGAGTTAGCACAGTAGTCTAAGCACCTGCCTGGCAAGCACAAGGACCTGGGTTCAGTCTTTGGCACCACATTCCATGCCGCCATGCTGGCCACCAAAACCGGGAGTGGTGGCACATGCCTATAATACCAGCACTGGGGAGGCTGAGACAGGAGGATCACAAGTACAAAGTGTGTAATGAGAACCTACACTGGATGGATGGATGGATGGATGGATGGATGGATGGATGGATGGATATTTTAAACAATAATACAAATATCAAGACACCTTACTGAGTGAGATCTTTTAATTTTTCGATGTAGGGTCTCACTAAGCAGTTCAGGCTGGCCTTGAACTCACAGCAGTCCTGCCTCAGCCTCTGTCAGGCTCTAGGAACACAGATGTGCACCTCATCCAGTGACCCTGCTTCAGAAGGGAATCTGGGGACATAGGTCACAAATAGGGCCTTGCCTTGCAAATACTGTGTTTAAGCCCCAAGACTGAGGCAGGGGCAGGAACTTGGTGTAGCTGTGGAAGGCTGGGACAGGACAGTCAGAGGTGAAGACCCAGCCTCAGTACCTTACGATGTAGCAGGATGCTGTCTCAAAATTAGAAAGGGCTGGGGATGTAGCTCCGTGTAAAGACCCTGGATACCATCCTCAGTACCACAAAAATAAAAATAAAGGAAAAAAAGAATAATAACCAAGATGTCTAGTTTTGCTGCTCTCTTTGGTTTGGCTGTGGTGGTGCTAGGGACTGCGCCCGGGGCTCCACGGACTAGGTGAGTGACCTCTACCTAGCATGTACCTCCCCCTTTGCAGTTTGCAGGTTAGACAAGGCCTCCCTCCCCTGGGTAGAACTGGCTGCACAGGCTCAGGCAGAGGGTGAGATTGGAGTGCTCAGGGGCGCACTGGGGTTGGCTGCCCTGGGCTGGAGCCAGCTGGGGGGCCCGTGCTTGCCATGAGAGGCCGACTGCACACACACGTAGCACAGCACTGCCCTTGGCTTTAGCACGAGCTCCCTGTTGATGTGTACCCTGCTCTGTTGGACTGAGTGCATGAGTTTCACCAGAACTGTGGCCAATGATTTTCATTTAAAGTCCTATGAGGTTTTCTCCAGCATTTTGGGTGGGTAACTCTTGCTGGCGACATTTACCATCATCCCTGGCCTCCCTCCAGATGCTGTAATGCACATCATAAACCCTGTTTGAGCCAGGGTCTCTCTCTGTGTTTGAGCTAGCCTTGAACTCAAGACAATCTTCCTGCCTCCACCTTCTAGATGCTGACATTACAGACCTGACACTGCACCCAGCTTCACCCTCAGAATTTGTGGGGATTCGATTCTGGGGACAGGGTCTCTCTAGGTAGTTCATGCTGGCCTTGAAATCATTACCCAAGACTGACCATGAGCTCAGTGACCCTCCTGCCTCAGCCTCCCAAGTATTGGGATTACAGGTGTGGGCAGCCACCAAAGACATCGCTGACTGACATCTGCAGTGCTTTTGCCTTTCGGCTACTGTGACCCTCCTCACTTGTAAAAGAGTAATAGCTACCATCATAAAACTCATGTAACCACCCAGTTGCTGTTTCATGCTTTCTATTCCTTAATTTATTTAATCTTCATAATACTCTGCCAAGTCAGCATTCAGTTTTAAAGTGAAATAAACTGAGGCTCAGAGTAACTTAAGGGCCCAGGATCAGACACACAATAAATAGCAGTGGGCTTGGGTGCAATCTGACCCCAGCAGTGCTGTTTCTAGCAGTCCATCGATTTTCTAGCAGTCTGTCACTTCTACCAGGGACATGGAAACCTCTGGCAGATTTGTCTTGGAATGGGGGGGCAGGGGGGGAATATTCTGTTCTTTTTTTCTTTCATTTTAGGGGGACAGAGTCTATGGCTGTGTAGTCCAGGTTGACCTTGAACTCGCTATGAAGCCCATTCTGGCGTGAAACAGTGATCCTCCTGTCTCAGTCTCTAGTATGCTGAGATTTTACAGGAGTGCGTCACCATGCCCCGCTGGTATAACTTTATTAGTGCACTAAAGATAACATCTTTTTATGATTTATCATATTTATTAAAATGTTTTCCAAAAAAAATTTAAAAATTTGCATTTTCTTCAGAGAAAGACCTAGCGTCTGCTTCACATAGTGAGAGTCCTTGCCACTTAAACTTGCTTCATCCAGGCAGACACACTACCATCTCTAACACTGCCAGCGTTGCCTCGCAGTTCTTTGCATAATTTCCCAAGTGAAGGGAAACTCAAATTGGAGACCAAAGACAGTATCTCTCAGGAGCATGCCTGCTTTTGCAAGTATGGATCATGACTTGTTACTGAACTGATACAGCTTTGTTTTAGGGTGGGTGTTGAGCCCAGTGCCTTACTCGAGGGGCTCAGCGTCAGTGCTCCCAGGCTGCACCCTGAACTACACCCGGCAGATCATTGCTCTTTTAAGAGAAGAGTGAGCCTGCTGGGTATACAGAGGTCTGCACACCGCCTCCCCCTTCCCCACCCCAACCCTCTGCAGTCGCCCTTCCGTCCTCCCCCCCTTGCTCTGGGCACTGTGCACTGGGTCTGCTCCCTGCTTGCCTTACAGCCCACACGCTCAGCCCATTGCCTCTGCCCTGCACTATTCCTTCAACTGAAGGACTGGCTGGGAGGGGTGGCACATGCTTCATCCCAGCACCCAAGAGGCCAAGGCAACAGGGTCACTATGGACTTGAGGCCAGCGTGGGCTACACAGTGAGTTCAAGGCCAGTCTGAACTACATAGGGAAAACCTGTCTCAAAAAAAAACTGAAAAAAAAAATTATTTTTTCCCTTTGGGTTTTTTTGTGGGATGTGTTGTGTTGTCTTCAGGGGCTAGGGGTTTAGCTCAGTGCTAGAAAGCCTGTCTAGCAAGGAAGAGGCCCTCTTTTGTGTTTCTCAGCAGGTCAAACCTAGCAGGGATGCTCTTGATTTTTGAGTGTTGACTGTTAATTTTGTTATTAATTCCAAGAGGTTTTGTTTTATTTGTTTTGTTTTTATCTTTTTGAGACAGGGTCTAGCTATACAATTCAGGCTGGCCTTGAGCTCATTTTGTAGCCCAGACCTGGTCTTGAAATGACCCTCCTATCTCAGCCTCTCAAGTGCTGGGATTACAGTCTAGGAGTCTTGATGGAGTTTTTGGGGTCTTCATCACCAAGTAATGACAATTTAACTCCCTCCCTTTCCTAGCCATAGCCATATACATTCTCTCTCTCTCTCTCTCTCTCTCTCTCTCTCTCTCTCTCTCTCTCTCTTTCTATCTGTTTCTGTCTCTTTCTCTCTCTCTCTCGTAATTGCTCTGGCTATTACGAGAACAAAAATTTTTAAAAAATTGTTCAAAGGGGGCCTGCCCCTTAGCTCAGTTGTTTAAGTGGCTGCTTCATCAAAGCAGTCTGCCTCTGGTTGCTGTGGTTCGATCCCCACAACTCCAGCCAGCCAAA